TCAATCTAAAGTAATTTCTTAACAATTTAAGCCATGGGAACTGTTCCATTCACTAAGATAAGAGCTGAAATTTTTCATTCAAAAACTTTCCATTCTTCTTCCTTTGTAGGAGAAAAATTTTTCGCTTCTTTTATAAAGGAAGTGAATAAATGAGTAATAGCTCATTTTAAGTAAAAGCAAATTTTTTCTGCTTCCTTCTTGTTCACTTTAAATTACCTCAAATGAAGATGAGTTGAGATGAAAATCTTTTGATATCTTTCCGAAGCGCTACCGTAAATTGAGATCATTTTTTTTGCTACTTTTTCATGCTCTTTATGCTCTTATTTAAATCTATTTGTAAATAAATGTGTAACTATCAATAGAGTCGAGTTTGGGATTGGGTTTGATTAAAAATGCGCTCTTATTTCTCCATGACAGTGACTTTTTAACTCAATTTACATGTCCTCACTTCCAGAACGTCTTTATTTCATCGCTCATGGGAAATTTTGTTGTTATCCCTTCACTTTTATTTTATTTTTCATTATCCTTGTTCACATTTCTGTAAGTCAATATCATGCACAATAACAAGTAATAATAATGATAATGATAATCTATGTAAACAAAATAAACATCATCACAGCCATCCCCATTGTCATTATCATTAAAGAATCATTCCTATAAATACACACTTAAAAGCAAAAAAAAAAGTCATAAACGAAGAAAAAAAAACAACAAAAAAAAATCATTTTAGATTTTCGCAAGAGGGTCGTGGCAAAATTAGATGTCGCGAGAAGCCTACAATTCACTGCCTAATATAGGAACTCGTGCCAGTCCAGGAAATCGTGCTAGAAGACTCACAGAATTACCAACTGTCGATCGATCACCCTCACGAGATTTTCATAGAGGAAGTCCATTAGGTAACAAAGAATTCATTTTGAATTTCCTCTTTAAAGTAAAACCAAAAAAATCAATCAAAACCCTTTCATTTGTTGCATAATGTACATTCACAACCATACGATCTGTAGATATTTATACTATACACATTACATAATACAGTCACAATCTTAGTCTATAGTAGAATATTCAAAAACGAATTAGTCGCTTTATCATCACCTCCTTTTTCTGTTCTTTACATACACGAAAACTCTCAAAATTAATTATTAATAAGAAAAAAATCGAAGACTACATGAAATTGATATTTGATCTATCCTTGACCGTCGTGACATTTTATATCTAATTTTATTTTAGTTTCTTTTATGACTGAAGAAGAATATTGGAAATAAACTTTGATTGGATTTATTCATGGTTGAAATAAATTTATTTGAGGGATTTTAAGTTTTGTGGCTTCAAAATTGTTCATAATTTAAATTTCTTCGTCATGAAAATCAAACTCATCCCTAAGTTCTTGATATCTTAGAATTTGTCAGGTCAACTTTTTGTGCGTTGATTAAAATTTCAACAAAATGCTAAGTTAAAAAAATGATATTCATAAATTTTTGATTGAATATTTTCTGTCTAAATCAACCATGAAAGTAGTTTTTTCTTACCGGCAACCTCTCATTTTAAGTAAATTTATTTTTCATTTTTTAATTTCAAACCCTTCACGTTCAACCATTGTCATACATTAATTACTAAATGTCATCATAAAATTCATATTTTAGTTTAGTAATTGTGACTAATCATTTTCACACCTTTCTTTTCCAAACCTTCAACTCTATTATAGTTTCACTATTCATCATTAGTGTCTCATGAACACGCACTATTGACGTTGTTGCTGTTCGATGTTAGATGAAAATAACTGATGTGAATTATTATTTTATTATTATTATTATTTTAATTGGTGGTATGCGTATGAAAAGATTTACTAGATACTAGCCTAAGTATTGCTATTTCCAAAACCATAGCTATACTACTGAATGTTATAAATATTAGATTAGAGAGGTAGCATGTGGTGAAAAGTGGTTCGAGGAGGTCCAAAACATCAAAATTGAAATGTGTATGAACAATTAGAATCAAAACGAAAATTCAATAAATTTAATCATCATAGCTGTCATGAGCATTATCTTAAAATACCATTTCTGAAACATTCCTCATAATCCACTCAATAATCCAATTCAAAAGCTTAAGAAAATTGATTTAATACAATTATATCATTTATCCATAATACAATTGTCCAACTTGACTACAAAGTAAAATCCTTGGCAAGCACACAAATTCAATAGAATCATTTAAGATGAAATGTAAAGAAACAATTAGAAAATAAACATAAAATTGGAAGTACAAGTGCTTTATACATTTCAGTTTCAAATGGAGCTTAACATTGTAAATTGTGTGAATGGAAAATGTAAAAAATAAGAAAAATTTGATATGTGTATTTGCTTTTATAGCTTTTACAATGTATAAGTTGCAACAAAGTCTAACAAAATGAATAATGTTGTCCTATTACTACAGCAACAAGTTTGAGATATTATTGTCCATTTTTTCATTCATATACATACGACACCACCCTAGCATTAAATGTTATATTGTGCGATTTCATTGTAAGCTATTTCACAATGCATTTAAAAATAAAAATGTGAATAATACTCTGCTTTTGTTCCCTCTTTTGAGGCACTTACATCGTTTCATTGCTTTCTATTTGTACATTCGTAGCCTTAGCATCATAATCAAGCTTGATCATTTTCATAAATCATGATCAATGATATTGAAAAGATGGATGAAATTAGGATTTATTATCATGTTTGCGTGTGAACTGAAGCGTGAGACTTAGAATGTTGTTTTCAAATTTGCTGAATTCAGCGCAATCTTGCTGAGCTGAACTAAAAAGAATCAAGCTAGTTCAATGTTTTTAAAAATTTCAAAAATTATCGCAAAAATCAAAACAAAATTCACATTCCATTAAAACTTCAAAGTCTTGCCTGCAGCCACACAACAAAACCTTTATATGTGCATGAGCCATTTTGTAGAGAAATGAATGCATAATGGTGCTTATTTAACCCCAAAAAACTCACAACCCAAAAATGAATATTTAACTGTTATAAAAAGAGAGAAAATAAAGTTTGTGATCATTAAAATACATTTTTACTTTGCTGCAAATATTAAACATTCTCATAAATTTCACTTCATACTTTTTTGCATTTATGATTTTTTTCGTCATTTAATTTTGTGTTTTTATTCAATGTTTTCAGTTCTTTTTATGAAAGATAAAAGCTTTGAATTTGTGGGAACGTTTTTGACGATTTTGTGGAAAGGTTCAAGTGCAATGAAGGATAATTTCACAGATGTTCCATTAGTTTCGCGGATTTGGATATGCAATATTAATATGCTTAATGGTTTATTGAATTGATTCGAGTTAAAAGGAATATTTGCACATGGCGCATTGTTTCTTATGCTAGAGACTTAGCCATTCCATCTAAAGTCTCATAAAACTTCCTTCAAAAATAAGCTTTTATTTCCATCATTTCACCGAACCCTATCAATCATGAATCAATTTATAAGTTGTGTAAATATTTGCATCTATTATTATTGATTATTTATTCGATTTTAGTTAAAGTTTTGTGTCCGATGTATGTCATTTTAATTTTTATTATAGTTTCTTGTTGATTGAATATGTGAATAGTAAAATTTCAGTTGTTTCCATTTCTGTGAATATTTAATTCTGAATTAATTTATGCATATTGAATTTTTGGCCATACACATTTACCTTTTGGTGAGGAATGGAACATTGATTTTGATAAATGAGTGGAATTTTCTTAATGGAAATGAGAAATCGGAATTTATTAGGGTTGGATTAAAGTTTATTCAGCATACTCAGCTTAAAATATCTAAAACTGCTTTTAAAATTTCAGAAAAGTTGAATCCCCTCGACAATTCATTAAACTCTCGACTCCAGCAGCCATTTACATCTATAATAAATTTCATTATGGGGCCGTTCACTTATGACGTCTAAGGGGGGGGGGTCAGCAAGAAAAGAACAATAGAAATTCCTGGAATTCCATTGTTCTTTTTTGAAAAATCACCGTTAATATCGGTCGTCATAAGTGAACGATCCCTATTGCAGTTGTTCCAATTTCAGTTTTTATTAAAAGCATTTATATGAAATTTATGTGTGACACTCGACATGAATGCAATGACATTTTAGAAAAAATATTTCACCATACTCAACTGTGCAATAATCACATGATCCAAACTAACATTTGAACAAAAATATTTCATTTATTGTAATCATACAAAAAAAAATCCCATAGTTACAGATAAGAATGAACGATATGAACGATTTTATCTCATTTCGAGATAATTTTATGAGCTTACAAAGTGTTGATATCAGTTCAATTGAATCGAAATTGCAGTTCAGTTAAATTTTATTGCTTTAATTTTGTAAATCAAATAATGAAGATAATAATAGAATCAGTAGGGGATGAAGTGAACTAAATGCAATATTATAATGGATTTTACAGCTTTTTATCAGTTGCTAAATTTCTGTAAATTGAGAATTGTATTTCGTGAGGGACGTGATAGTTATTATATTGAGATAATTAGAACTTTAAGCGTATAATGAAGAACTGTAAGGGTTTTTTGGCTGAAGTCGCTAAATTGTCTGAGTTGCTAAATAATCAGAATTATTTAATTTATTTGCTGCATAAGCCACATCGATGAGGAAGCTGAATTGCTTAAAAAAATAAACCCCTAATCTTTTTAGCAAGCCTTAAAACTTTAATCGATTAGTTTGTCTTAAAACTTTAGCTTAATCCTTCCATTCCTCACAAAAAAAAAACTTCATTTACATCACAACATTTATATTTTTACAGTTCACAGTCTCATAAATCATACATGAAAATTATTTGACAAAAAACAACAAAATTTCTCTAATTGGAACCATCAATGTCTTATCATTCATCATCTATTTTTTTCTGTTTTCTTTTTTCTTCTTCTCATTTCATGATAATCACAATCAAATCAAATCAAATAATCTCAAATAAAATAATATCATTAAAATAAAAAAAAAAAAATAATCATATCAGGGCATTTGAGATATCCAAGAATTTCAAGATACAATTACGGTCCGTATCATTCATCAATTTATCCACACCATTCTCTTGCAGCAATGAGCAGCCCGTATTATCATCGTGACATGGAGGACCCGATAAGTCCAGCATTGCCGGGACATCATCGTAGTCGAAGTGCAAGTCGACCACCCGTCTCGCATACGATGGATTATCCAAGTATGGAGACTTGCTTTTATTTGAGATTTGAGATTTTGATATTTTAAGCTAATAAGTTTTTAATTTTATTGATCCCACAGGACGTTATCAATCGTTGGACCGTGGTGGATTTGCTGATCCACATGATCGAGAATTCGTCCCAATTAGAGAACCAAGAGATAGATCACGAGATCGTTCACTAGAGCGCGGTCTCTATTTGGAGGAAGAACTATATGGAAGATCTGCTCGACAAAGTCCGAATCCCATGAGTAAGTATATGAGAACTTGTTGGCCTTCGACTAGTAAATGATTATTAATGATGTCAACTTCAAGCCCATCCTAGCTCATTTCGAAAATAATTAATCTTCATTTCCTTTCAGTGGGACCAGATCGAGGATATTTGGGTGATTTACAATACGTAAATACCGATTTGCAACGCGAACTTGGCAATCTTAAAAAAGAACTAGAATTAACAAATCAAAAATTAAGTAGTTCAATGCACAGTATTAAGACATTTTGGTCGCCTGAATTAAAGAAGGAGCGAGCGATGCGAAAGGAAGAAAGCGCAAAATATAGTTTGATTAATGATCAACTAAAGCTACTCAACAATGAGAATCAGAAGCAAGCAATGTTGGTGCGACAGCTTGAGGAAGAGTTACGAATGAGAATGCGACAGCCAAGCATTGAAGTGCAACAACAAATCGAAACAATGTATGCGGAAAATGAACATTTGACACGAGAAATAGCAATATTGCGCGACACTATAAAGGTAAAGCGACTTAGAGACAGTAATTCTGTTTTAATGCCATTACAAATCTTCCAATTTTTTTCTTCTTTACATCTGTAACGTCTTGTTCCATTATTCATGCAAATCGTCGACATTGTGGCTTTGCAGGAGCTCGAATTACGTCTGGAGACACAAAAACAAACGCTCTTGGCTCGCGACGAGAGCATCAAAAAGCTTTTAGAAATGTTGCAGAACAAGGGAATGGGTGAGTGATGTTGAATTGTTGTTTGTAGTGTGTAGGTAGGACAAAGTTTCTTCTTCAATACACTGTGTATACACCATTAATGAACTGATGTAGAAGTATATTAGATGAAGATGTGGGGGAGTTGAAATAAAGAGTCTTACAATCACTGAGTACGAGGGAAAGTAGTGTAGATTTGAATAGATTTGTGCTGTAGATTTTAGAATTCTTTAATAATAGAAGCAAAACTTAACTAGCTCAACATTCCATCAATCAAGAAATCATCAACATTACTTTAGTTTTACATCTTCAACTATCTTAAAGCATCCGTCCGTCAATATTATCTCATCCCACACACACATTATTTTCGCTAAATTACATACTTTTCTACAAGAATTAATATTATATGAACCATCAGATTTCCCACTAGTATCAAGGCACAACATGCAGCGGTGTAGATTATATCCCAGGGATAAAAAGAGCTACAACATGTATGAAATAAATGTCGATAATGGAAAGACATAAATGAGAAAGTTGTACACACATTTTTCATTTTATCACTTATGTGCTGCTATGAAACTTACTTACTTATTTACGATATTGTATTCATCCTACTCGTATTTCATAAATCTTTATATGAGTATGTGCCTTCTGTTTCCATCAATGCCTCATATTCTAGCTACTATTTTTTCACTCAGTAGATACACGAGAAAAAAAAATCAATTTCGTCTTTGGACATCCCACATTTTTTTGTGCATAGTTGGAGTTTTTACTGGGTTGTGATATATTGTTGTGTGTGGATGGACTTTGGCTGTCTAGAATTGGCAGTAATTGATATGAATATCTTGAATGGCACAGAAGCGAATAATCTGGTTCAATTCGAGCGCAAATCTAACTTTAAGCTAAGACTATGAGCCATTCGGGGATAAAACGTTGCAGAATTTAGAGATTTCATGATTTAAGGTCTTGGAGGTAGTCAATTAAAACAGATTTATCAACGAATTCTTTTTCAATAAAATCAATAAAGCTACACAGAAGTGACGTCGACAGTGATTCTTTAACTTTTTTCATTTCTTCACATTCTTCTGTATGCTATCAGAAAAAATCTCATTCAATGTGTACATTATGTACACATATATATGGTGTGTAAGAAGTAGCAACAGCTGTTACGAAAAAGTAAAACTTTTCCTCATTTTTCAACCAATCTATTTTTCCGTTTCTCTTCTTTATCTTTATTCTTGCTTCATCATCCTGATTCATCGATGGATTTTTAATCTTTAATGAAATTTTTGGATCATCTCGTCATCATCATCATCACCATTTAATGTGTGATGTGGGAAAATCAACAAACTCATGAACCGACTTTAATAAAACCATAAATGACCGCAAAAAGCAGGTAAAGAGGAAGAGCGAGCAATGTTCCAGCAGATGCAGGCAATGGCGCAAAAACAGGTAAATAAAATTAAGGAAAATTTTCAGTTTTCTTCTTTTTTTCGGTTGGTTTTTTTGGTTTTTCTTTCCTGAATTTTCATTTGATCCTTTCCATTTAGAAAATATTTTTATTATTTCTTAACTTCATTTAAAATATATCCCTCCCCCTTTTTAATTGTAACTCAAATGATGATTATCTATTCACATAGCTATGATATGAACGATATAAAAATACAAAATGAAAATTGGCTTTGATAGCACTTTATTCTCATAATTAGAAACATTTTTGAATGACATTAAATGTTTTATTTATTTATTTATTTTTCTCTTTCTATCTTTTTATTATTTTTTCACTCATTGGTAATCGGAAATAATTAGATTCTTGATTTGTATAGAATTAGCATTAATTTTCATATATTCATTTATTTCGGCATACATAAAATAATTAGGATTATTAAAATATGTTAGACAAGTGTGACGTAGCTATCAATGGAGGGTAGAATGTGTTAGCTGTTATCGGAGTGTCTCGGGCTTCAGGAATTTTTTAGAATCGAAATTCTAATAATTTCAAAAAATATCTAAAGCCTGTTGATCAAAATTAATTAATTAAAATAAAAATTCTTTTTCCTAATTGCCACTTATAAAAATTAACTCTCCGTGCCACTCAACTTACTCATACCATTTTAAGCCAACACACAATGCATGTCATCCGACATACAGAAATAAATTCTGATTATCAACGTGACAAACAATTTCCAAAGAATTTCATTCCGTATGCATCGATAAAGTATTGGTCATTTATTTGTGGATTATTGAATTTCAATTTTATCCAATTTAATTGAACAATTTGTGGTTCAAACCATATGTCTATCGTTTAAATCAAAGTAATTAGTCAATTATGCTAATTGAATTTACAATGTGATGGTTTAAAAGTTTCAATCTGCTCTTACTTGACAGGGTGGCTTGTATGAAAGTTAAATAGGAAGCATCAAAGAACATTTCGAACTTAGACATGCTTGTGAAGTTAAAATCTCAAAAGAATAATTAATTTGCACGATTAAATTCATTTAAAGTTGAAACTTAATCTTAAAATCAGATTCAAACTGCCATAATCCAATAAATGCTGATTTCATCTCAAATATCCCTAACATAAGCATTGTAAACCCATCAAACCTCTTCAAATTTGCCCTTTTCTCACATGAAGCACACATAAAAAAAACTTTAAGCATATCAAAAATTTAAAAGCCTTTTTCTAAATTTTCCTCCCAATGAATAACTCATTAATATTCTGAAAAAGTTTACATCCGAAACCATTTTACATGTGCCTCATAAAAATTTCACAAAAGAATTATTTTCCATGTGTGGCAAAAATGTTCCCTTTTTTCTATGCTTATCTAATGACTCGTGAATTTAATTAGTAAAGCTTTATAGAGTCAAATTATATTATTGTAAACTTTTGATGGGAAAAAGTTTCATGCGTAAATTATTGAATTTTTATAGAGAGAAAAATGTTTAAATATCAGCGGTAATTAATCAGGTGAATTTGGTATTGTTTTAAAATGATAGAAGCATATTTTCACGGTATTTGCTGTTTTGTAAAATATTGTGGGATTATTAATTTATGGCAGAAGTTTTTGAGTATTTTTTGAGTAAGGAAACAGCTATTAAATGCTATTAAATTGATAAAATTAAATCATAAATTGAGAATTTTTTAAAACATACTGAAACTAAGTTGATTTAGGCATATTAGTGTCGAATTATTGATAATTCAGCGCTAGCCCTGATCAAAAGATTTAGCTATATTTGTCAAAGTCAGACAAATCAAAACTTATAAAAAATATATGCAAAAAAATTTAATTTTGTCGACTAAAGACAATAAATAACCCTCAAATGTGCATCACGCATAATCAAGTTAATCGTAGCTAATGTAAATTCCTTCACTGATAAGCTCGTCACTGAGCATTAGGCATTTGCATGCTTGCTAGAAATAATGAACAAAAAAAATACTTTTTTTCTTATTCTTCTTCCTTTCTTTTTCGTTCTGCTTTTTATTGTTTTTGCACAAAATTAATTAATGAATTAAGAAAAGAAAAATTCGATAAAAATTTCAACTCATTTTTTATGTTTTTATGTTTCACTGAAATATTATGAATGCTTTTTAGACGAATTTAGAATGAGAAATTTGTAGGAGAAATGACAAAAATTCTTAGTTTGTTTAATTTTTTTTTTTGTTCCGTAATTCATTTTAGTTTATTTATTTCATTCATTTCTCATTCCTTCATTTTACATTCAATCATATTAGATAAGACCTTATTTCATGTCATTTTACTCACGATTTTTTTTCTCATCCTACAAAATAAAACACTATCATTCTCAGACACTCGTCTTTGGATCGAATTTCTCAACGATTTTACTTTTTTTTTATCTTTATAAGTCCTAGAAATGGACATGAGTTTGGTAGGAATGTGATTGTTGATGAATTTTGGCGCATTTTTTGGGGTCCTTCGACAGATAGTGATGTTAACTTAGTTCCTGACATTTCACAAAATTAAAGAATATTATTTCAGGACAGAACATAGCTTGTCCTGGAAGCAAGCTAGTCTTTCTTTCTCATATCCAATCCAATACTGAATGTCTCGATCCATTTTGTAAAATCAAGTAAGAAGTCAATTTAAACACAGCTATAAATAAGAATTGAGATTATCTTCTTAGTTGAGGGTGACCTAGATACACACATGATGCCGCATCAATGGCGCGTGATGTTTTACGCGTTCATAAATTGTTTGTATAGCTTTTATCGATGCTGTGTTTTTAGGAAGAGATTGTTTTCCAAGAATTTTAGCTTGATTTGTAATGATTGATTATGACAATTAGGTTCTTTAACTTAAATGAATGAATATATTCAGGAAGTATTGATACCGACTCTTCAAATATTGATTCTAATTTCTTAAAATTACAATTAGTGCAAATGCATCAATTTTAGAAAATTCTAGCCTTTCTCTTGATTAAAAACATTTCGCCATCCTTTTCGGATTAATTTATTAATCCAGATCGATATAACTGACATACTAGCGACTAGCACATTTGATAATCGGTTTATAAATTGGTGTAGAATAACAAAGTAGAAGAACTTGACAGGCTGACCGACTGATTGACAAACAAAAAGAATAATTAATGAACTTATGGATGCACCAGAAATTCGACAGTTTGAAGGACACATTCACGATGTCTGAAGAATTGAATGAAAAATGGACATTCGTGCAGAATTCCAACAATTTTTTCAATCCACAAAAGAAAAATGCACACAAAAAAATTGCTAAAACGAGAGAGAAACAGAAACAGAAACAGAAACGACAAGAATGATAAAAAGAAGGCAAAGAAGAGTGAAAAATCGATAATCGAGTTGTGGTGGCAACATACATTGATAGGATTTATAGATTTTTCATGATGTGTTTGTATGATTATCGTATCGGAGTTTCAGAGGAAAGCAATATTCCATGACAATATTACGAGACACATGAAAATACCAGAAAATACACAAAACTTCTTCCTTATTCTCTTTAATAAAAGTGACAAGAAAAAGACCATTACAATTTTGATGAAGGCATAACGTTTATGGAGCATACAAAAAGATGAAAATAGAAGTAGGAAGCTATTAAAAAGGAAGCATGATTTATGGGGATGTATGTCATGTGAGTCGACAATTGCGTACCAGATGAAAAATAAATTAATTTCGATCGTTTTGATTTGGATGGATAGACTTAATAGACTGGAAGCATTTTGAGTGACATGAAAAGAGAAATTCATGTTTTGAGGCTAAAAATAAAGTTTTGGAGTAAGAAAAATTGGAATTCATAATGTCCAAAGTTTTAAGACTCAATGTATTCCAAGTCAAGTCCATAAAATTTTAATGCTACAGTCAGTTCTCTTAAATCTCTTAAAATGAATTTATTTGGCACACCGAACATTTCGTCAAAAGCACAAAAGATTTTTTCATGTGTAAACAATCTCGCTTTGTACAAAACGATAAAAAAAAATATGCAGACCCAAATGAAAACTTTTTACCTTTAAAATTTCCCCATAATAATTTTTCATAAAATAAAAGTTTCTCATCTCGCAATAAAACAAGCATTCCTCACGTTTGTTACAATGAGAGCTTGTTATTCCTTTTATGATAATAATCTGTGACTGGTTTATTGTAAAACAAACAGGGATTAATGCAGTTTGGAACTTTAAATCCACCATAAAAAAATGCGCAATGATTCCCTAATTTACAATCACATCCCTAACCACATCATATCTCACTTTGACCTGATACTGTTCACAAAAAAATTTATGACAACGCATTAAATTTTTCCACTTTTACGTTTTTCTTTCGTCCTCGTCTCCCATGATGTTATTGCTGCAAGTTGCCACATAATTCGTCCATAATTAAATTTAGATTGTGATGAATTCTTATCATAATGGATGGGAAGAGAATGTCTGCATAAAATGATGATGAAAAATATTTTTACATAGAAATTTATTGCTGAGACAATAATTGGAACTGTGAATTATTCCATTTGTATGAGCTAGAATAAAGGAATAGAAACATAGAGAAAAGTTTCTGCAAATATAAAAAAATTGACATTTTACGAGTCAAAAAAATAAATTTCTACAGCTTTACTTCGGATTGAATCCGCTTTAAAAATAAAAAGAGAAAATTTATTGAGAAGAGCAGAACAAAGAACCTGAGAGTACGATTTACTTCAGCATATCCCATTTCTTTTACCTCAATTGCTTTTTCATGCTTTTACGATTGTGTTGTTGAGCATTTTGCGATGCTGTTAGCGAATTATCTTAGTTAAGTGAAGCTCTTTTGTGATTTTGTGGGATAAAATTACTTGGGAATGTTAAACTGAAAGAAATATGACATGATTTTGTCTCAACAAAGCCTTGTAGCTCCTAGAATTGAAATAATTTCTACCAAAATCTCAAATATGATTGACCTTATGCCAAACCAAATTCACCCAACAACTGCG